AGCTTTACAATGTTAAAATAATCTCTTATTACATCTGACGAGGTATAAATAAGTATACCTAGCCTTAAGGAGAGCTAGACCCTAAGTCAGGGCTGCCAAATGGCCGGGAGGACTTATTGTGTCCAATGTCCAACACATAGGTATAGGTCGCGACAAACTTCTGACTTCTTGAGCAAACCAGCAGGTAAATAAACATAACATAAACAGCGTAGTAGACGTTTTTGTATGTAAAATTGCTACTGCGCAGGGTTTCTTGTGTATAGCCGATGCCGAAGTTTGCCGGGATATTATACTGGCCAGGATTTCGAACATCTACTAGTCCTTTTTCACAGAGTTCCTGGAGTAACGAATGCTCTGTTACAAACGTTTGATATATAATGTATACTAAATCTTTACCTCTCGATAAGCTATTGAAGATCTTTATCGAATATAAATTAATAATATGAGAGGGCTCTACGAGTAACTTTGTTTACTTTTGCTCTTAAAACGTTTGAAACGGGGTTGGTAACACGGCAGAAAAGACTTCAAAGTATTTAATTTAATCGTTTGTCCCTTTCGTTTCAGTCGTAGAATACGTATGGTTGTTTTTCCACCGCTTATTTCCACACTATAAGTTTTTGATATCGGATTATCAGACCCATGTTTTTGTATAATATTCGTCCAATATATTATTTTTATATAAATCGACTTATCAAACCCGCGAACGGGTCAAAAATCAAGTTATCAATCTTTCTGATACTGCAAAAGTAATATTATAAACAAAATCTGCCCAAATAGGTCAAAATTAAAAGCACAAATACCACAATACCTTATCTTTCACATATTGAACCTTATTCGATTGAGTTCAGTAACCTAGCCAATTGGCACGAGCATCAGGGTACCAATATTCATAAATGGGAGTGACAAAGCAGGACGCTTTATGTGGATGAGTCAGCTGACGAGTAAATATGAATGCAAGCAAAGTTCAATTGCTCGATGTTCAAACGAAATATCTATAATATTATTTGCACAGTTAATGAGTAGGCAATCGAGATCGTTAGAGAAATACAAAAACAAACCAAAGTGTTTCCTATTTACATAACGCCAATATCAGTGCGTCATCGTCACTTAAGCGTAAAGGCGTAGTTTATTAGTTAACTGGGCTTGTTGATAAGTCGTTCAATGTAAACATCTATTGAATGCATCAAACAATGTTATCTGTCCAAGTTATTTTCTCGATAATTTATTGCCCGTTTATCATATGTTTTTTTGGCTTACTATCGCTAGCCGAAACAGAGATCGCGGTTATACATGATCGTAATGCAAAATTTTACCACAATCAGGTGTTAGGTGAGGTCATAAGAAGCTTAAGAGCGGACGCGAGTCGAGAGACATTTGAGAAATAGGTATTTTAAAAAACTATTGCTGTCGCGCATTGCCAAATACCTCGCGATAAGGACAACAGTAGTTCACGCCGAAAATTGCGTATAAAAATTGCAAAATTCGAGGTTTGGCTCTCGACTACTTCCTGCTCGAGAATTAGATAAATGTAAATGAAACTTTACCCATACTATAATAATAGTTATACTAGGCCTTTATGTTTTGGTTTTTTTGTAAATGCTTGTTGAATCTTCACACGAAACATCTTTAGTGGTGATAAAAATTGGTTTATTTTTGGCATTTTTGTAGGCTTCTAGGTTCTTTAAAACACAAGTTATCGAAAAAAGGAAGGAAGAAAGAAAAAAGGAAACTTGGAGCATAGAACGAGTAAAATTATATATGAAGTATGAAAATAATTTCTTTAGTGATAAAAATCAAACAGGAATCAGCCGAGAACCTTTGTATGGAACAAACATAGCTCGCCTCCCCTCTTAAGTTATTTGGTTTTCTCTATTGCTTGGGCTACTCTTAGAACAAAGTCGCACTAAGTTAAGCTTGTATTCAAAGCAAATTATTAAACGTTATATCACAAAACAGCTGTTTATAAATGAGAATCAAGGTTTGTCGTTATCCTGTAGTTCATTGACTTTGACCGGCTTTGTCTCAATATATCGTTACGTACGATGTTCCAATGTCCATGCCTTTGTTTAAAAAGTACTTCAAAACAGATAATTGCTTGTAAATGATTTGAGTTGGCACTCGCTTATAATGCAACATTGCAATTACTACGTATTTGAAGAAGACTATTTTGAGCAAGCATGCATGTCATGCATGTTATATATTTTTCTTAATGAGGAGAACGATGAAAATACTTATTCATTATATTATTTAGTTCTATATATATTGGGGATGAGGCGTATTCATTAACACAACTTGACACATATTATTCTAGGAGGGCAACGATATTATTGTAGGAGAATATTAAAGAGCACTATCATAAAATGAAAAGAAAAAAACTGTATTAAAATTGAATTATTAAAAAGATCTTTTTTTAATCTTCTTAAATGTTTTCTCGAACCACCATACAACTATCGATACCATTTTTTTTGTGACGCAGGCAAAACCTCTATTTACAGACGACGACGGCGCCTTTAAGTGGCACACCGCCGAACGGACCTCACACCTGGCACCCGCAAGCTTTACGAGCCCCCGCAGTGGCTGCCCACTGAGGACCCCGTATCTCTTACAGGCGCTTTACGGCATAATATCCGCTAAAAAACCCTACTGTTTAGCTCAACTTTATTTCGGAAAAGCTAATATGATCCAATCATTTCTAAAAGAGAAAAGACTAGAAATAAAAAGATGTCATCGGCCTATAGTAAAGGAACTTCTAATATTTTCCCTAATATGTGGGTAAAGATCAATCGGAATAAGACCAAAATGATGATTGTGGACCGCTCTAATAACAATTAAGCACAAACAACACAAATTGCTAACTGTGTGTGGCGTGGTCCACTCATACATATACATATATGTCGTTGCATTGATCTTAAACAACGGTGGATGGATGAATGGAATAAAAATACCGTTTTAAAAATTACTTTCACTGAAAGAATTCTGTTAAGTACGGAACAAAGATACATAACAGTCGGGATCCATTACTGGAAAATTTTGATTATCGTTGTTCATTATTACTAAACAGAATTATAGACTACTGGAATAGCTTTTTTTTTCCTTAGAGTTTGAACCTCAGCACATTAATAATTGTTAACCTTTTTGGGTATATGTTACCCTGTGCTGGGATTGTTGTTTGAAAATTTGATTGTGACTCATACTCCAGAGACAATGTTTTAACAGCTTAATCGACAAATCTAAAAAAGAAACTGACTGACTGACATATCAAAACACAGCCCAAACCGCTGGGTCTGCTCCTTGTGAGGTTTAGGGGTGCACTACGAAATGATTTTTCATAATATATTTAGATAAGTATTCGCGCAATTTTCTAGTCACGCTCAAGGAATAAGATTTTTCATACAAACTTTCATCCCCTATATTAAGCCATTCGCGGATGAATTTTGAAAAATCCTTTCTTAGTGCACCCCTAGACCTCATAAGGAACATACGTGCCAAATTTGGAGTCTGTTGACCCAGCGGTTTGGGCTGTGCGTTGATTGTCATTCAGTCAGACACTCAAGTTCTTCTTATATGTATTTTAGATAAGTCTGTGTTCAGCGCCGTAATAGTAATTTTGAGAAAATTCTCACATAAACATATTGAAAGTTTCTTTTTCGCAATAATACCGATATACTTAATTGGAAAATTAAATATTTTAAATCGCAAAAATTAGAGCGCATTTGGGACATAAGCAGGTGTTTTCGTAAAATTTCGTGCGAAATATTCAGAAATATAATTGAGCTACAGCCAGCATGTCTGAGCTCAGCGCCACGAACGCCAGCCGCCCCCTTGGTCCTTGCGCGCTAGGCTCCAACCTTGTTAGCCTGTGTGTAAATCAGGCCCTGGCTAAATCTACCCCTCCCCAGATACCACATCCATCGTGATTACGACCACTCTGACAAAAGTGAAACGAGCGAGAAGAAAACTATTTTCCGATCCACACACAAAACCATAGAAGACAAAGAGAAGTTCTGTTTTCAGCTTTGGGTTCTGTGCGCAGATCGGTAGCCAAAGGGACGACAAGTTGCGGAAACGCTTTATGACAGGTGTTCGTACCATATGTATCAGAGGTCCGAAGTAGCACGATTATTCTATATTATTCAATTAGGTAAAATTACCTAGGTGTAAAAATCTAACAATAAAACACATTTTTTTATGTAACCCTCTCCATACGAATGGGTTTAGCTTGCACTTGTCTGATTTTTATTTTCTCTTTAGCCACCGTAAAAGGAAAATAATAGTTCTTTATATAATTAACTGTATTTTATTACAATATGATATCGTGTTTGTAGTATTTAGCATTTTATTGTGTACCCTTCAAAAACATGAAGGTCAGGTATTCATTTATATACGAGTTTTCAATATCATTGTTATGTGCAAATGATTTCTTATGTATATTAAATAAGGATGTTCCACCTATCAGCGCACTCGAACATAGATTAATAAGATATGATCATATCATGACGTTACTGCAGTTTTAATATTGATTTTCATTACCTAAAGCAATTCAATTTTGGAAGGTTCGATCTAAAGATATTGAGAAAAGAAATGTGATATGCATTCAATTTGAATAAAGAAAGTTTGACATTGACTTTTTTTTGCTACTATTTTAAAATTATTTTATACAGAGATGGGCACACAGTGGATTGTTCGCTCAAATTAGTGCATTTATAAATCAGTTAGTAACCTCCAACATACAAGACATAAAACTTCTTTTTGGTATTGTTTCTGATGGTAAGTATTGTTCCAGGGCTTACGTAGGAAATTGGGTTCAGGCCGGCCGCAAAACGAGAATTGCTGGTGAGGATTTCTGTCGCAAACCAGCATCAATCATCAAACAGAAAAAATCGTTTTCGAATTCTATTATAATCGTACCTGGGACCTAAGCACTGCCGATTATGGCGGTAGTCAAAACTACGTTTGTCTGATGCAAGAGTACGAAAAAAAAATACACTATTTATACTCACATTCGGTGATAAAGAAGTTGAGTAGAGTGAGAGCAACTGTATGCCCCGAGAACATGTAGTCGCCACACGTGCGTACGCCCCGCACAGACATGCCGGCGCCGCTCCATATGTCATACGCTTGCTTCAGCCGCCGGCCCCACACCGTGAGGTCGTCAGCGGGCGGGTAAGAACGTGGCTCACACTTCAAGTGGGAGCCCGGCACTGATAGCGACGTTATCAGCATCGTGAAGCAGCGCAGCAGGAACACAGTGCCAGCCAACGCGAAGAATCGCCTTAATATTATGAACCTAAACAATCATTCCTGATTAACATAACTAAATTTTTAAGTATGTACATCTCACTCTAACATAGTAGTAAAGAGGGTTTAAGACACATGAAATGTAAACTTCTGCAGCCTTCTTGTTACCTAACAGACTTGCCCAATTTTTTACAATAACAAAACCATGATCTATATTATAAAATTAATAGCTTTTATTTCTGGTATATTAATTTAATTCTGGTATGTTATTTGATTACTGTCATGTTTTCCTTGGTGTTTTTGGATGCAGCAAATATAATTTGTAATCATTTATTATTTTCAAGGTGGAGCTCGAGATAAGCGAGTTCAGCTTTCAATCATGAAAGTTATGCCACTTTCACAATAGCTGGTTATTGGATGGGTGACCAAAAACCTTATTATCCCGAGCTCCTTCATGCTTGGAAGGCACGCTGTTAGGTTAGGTCTGTATCTGCAGCCTATTGCACCCACCAATCCACACTGGGCTTGAGTGGTGGGTCATTGCCGAATCTTCCTATTTCATTCAAAGGGAAGGCCTGTGCTGTCCCAGCAGAGGGGACATTATTAGACTGATGATGATGATCATTAAAGAACCCGCAATAAAATAAACACTGCTGTTATACCAAAACAAGTACCAAACCATATTTTAAATGGTAAATGTGTTAGATACTAATCATCTAGAATTTTAAAATACCTTAAACAAGTTTTACTATAATACAACATTCTATTGTAAATTTTTATATTGAACAAGTTTTATCTAGAAAAGGATGATGAAATGCCAAAGAGGCTATTTTCAGTGTGATCGAATATTCTGTTCTTAGGAATACAATGTAGGTACTATAATTTATGACAGTGTCATTCAATCAGTTGATTAAGGATCTGTTTGTGAATGTGGTTGAAGTTCTCTGTAGGAATCTGTAGGAATGTTATCAGTCTTACAACTCTCATTACCTATCCATTAGTGTTTAGAATAATAATTATCTTTCTGTTTTTTTTTATGATTATTTAAAAGAGTAAATGCCAAATATAGCAGCTGCTAGAATATTTAATATTGAATGTTCACCTATGTTTGTGAAAGAATAAGACAGCAAGCCATATTGCCATCAGGAGAGAGCCTGTGATTTCACACATGTCGAATGCCCAGGGAATGTGTGGAACATTGTCGAGGAACAAGTCTGGAAGCGGTGGATATTTCTTCATGTCAGGCACTTTGTCGTGCACAATCACCATCACAACCGCTGTCACCCATGTTACTAAGAACAAATAACCTGGGAATAAAAATATAATTTATATAGTCTTATTTATGCCACTATTTGTAATCAAACTTTATTGTATAATAAGTTTTATAAGTACTAATATTTTATTTTCATTTCAGTTCAAATATTTTAATAAACATTGTAGTTAATTACAACTGAAATTAATGATATTGTATTTAAGCAGTCTTTGCAATTATAGTAATTACAATGACTGAGCTAAAATAAGAATAAAATATTTGGTTACCTAATGCTATGGCTGTTTTCCACACCTCTGGTTTCAACTTCGAAGCTTTCACATCAGGTGTGAAATTGGAAATAAATTCTCGATTGTGACTATAACAAAACTCTTGTGGCATTTTGTTATGAAGATTGTAACTTAAATGTGACAAATTAGTACCAAGGAAATTTATATTTGTTGATGCATTAGCAAGAAACTGATCTTCACATAAACCAAGTTCACACATAGCACTACGATTATTTCTTTGTATCTTTTTCACGAGTAATATGAAACGTTTCCTGTCGCCTAGTTTCAGCTGATCGAATGGATATTCATAGAAATCACGATCTACGAAAGAAAGTAGACATTGTCCATCGATGTCATGAAGCTTGCAAATTTCGATGGCACAGGTTGATATATTTTCTTTGTGCAACAACTCGGCCACTTCTTTGTTATTCCAATTTATAATATTCGAATCCATTGTTGTAAAATCTAAGTTACGCGTAAGAGAAATACATTTGCACTATTAGAACACTTGGAAGATAATTATCACTATTTATTAGTTCCACTACGGACAAAGATCGAATATGCACTGAAGTTTTATGTAAACTGGCTCATTAATTATTTTATTTGTAAATTTAGGTTTCCAATCTCTTCAACAAACTGATCGAATATTTTGACATTTAACTGAAGCATGCGGTGTTACCAGAAGAAATTTTACGAAAATACCGAATCACCTCAAAAATGTAGTTTTTTTTTAATTTTATGACCTGGTAACAAAGACTTTTAAGTCATAACTTATTTGGAAAATGTTCATTACTTTAGAAAATGTATAGAAATATATCGACTTGCACAGAGAAAATATATCAATGAAAAATGCCGATTTTCAAAACAGGTTTTACTAATTCAGTAACATATTTTTGTTTTTACATCTGTTTCTTTGTACACTTTTTATTCAATAAAATAAAGGCTCGCGTGCAACATTGTATACTGGAGTTTCTAGTAACTTTTCTCTATGAGTATGGCTAACGAAAGCGTGAGCTGAGAAAATGCGGGAAATTCAAAAACCTGTATGTGGTATCACTGACTATAGTAGGAAATAAATGTTTTGATACTTGAATATTTGCTGTATATTTTTTCTAAAGGCTTCGTTTGGAACGACGGAGCCTTGATCGTCATGGATGTGAGAAAAAAAACGAGTGTGTGGATTTATTTATTAGAATGCACATAGTATTTGTCTACTTAACATTTAGTTTATTAAATTTCTTCAACGTAATTGAGTATAGGCTAAAGATAATAAAGATGAGGGATGATGATGACGTGTTTATTCATCATAGTCAAAATCTGAGTTCAAAAATTCAACCTCTGAAGATTCTTCTGTATCAGTGGAGTCATCATCACTTAATTTATTATGAATTTTCCAAATACTTATTCAGTTATGTGATCTCTTTGTGTATAATTATTTTCCACATGTCTAACATGGTCGATATGTTGGGACCTCCTTTCTCACAACATAAAAATCATTGATTTTATTTCTTATTGCATCAATATCAAAACTGTCTAAATCTGACAGTGCTTTTATGGGGCCTCTTTTTTCCTGGTGTGCTCCACATTCCTACATTCACAGATCCTTCCTTTTTAATTTTCTTTAGTGTCATGATACCAACATCTGCAAAGTACACATGCTTGATGAAGTAGGTACGTACCTAAACAGTTTGATGACAAAATAACAAAACTTTGTGAATAGAACAAACACATAAAAACACTGAACAGATACAGGTACATACCAGTTAGTGAAGATATTTCTTCTAAGAACTTATTCTGAGTTTCTATTTAAGGGTTTTTTCTCCAAATTCTTTACCTATTCAACAACATTTTTTATTTCGAACAGACCTTGAATATTTTCCAGATTATCTATATATATATAAGAAAAAAATGGATACGTGTAACTTATGTACGCGCGTGAGAAGTTATACTTCTTTAGCATCATTAAAAATATTTTTTAATTGCATGCAAATAATTAATAATTACAATAAAATAATAAAAGGACTGGAAAAGGATAGTTAACACAGTCAATTAAGTTCAGTTTTAATTTGAAAAATTCAATAAATATTCAAAATATTCAATTAAAATCACTACTGAATTTAAGTTACTAGTTCATATGTAATTAGCACTTGTAAGTAACTAAAACACGTTGTGTCTATATAGAAACTAGAAACATGTGGATAAATATTATAAATATGAAAACAGTGATCAGAGGCGACGAGCGTGCCAACATTGTTTTTGACAACGCGATCATCTTATGGAGCTCCGTGGATCGTTCAAAGTACCTTTCGAACAGATGTCTAATAATGGTGGATTATTAATCACTAAGTGGTTAATAATCCACCATTATTGGACACTAACATTCATAACGCGCCCGCGGCCAACTTCATGGTGTTACTATTGTGTTACAGTGATGCGCGCGCATCTCGAAATTTCACTCACATGATTTTTTCATAACGCGCCCGCGGCCAACTTCATGCTGTTATTTTTGGGTTACAGTGATGCGAGCGCATCTAAAAATTTCACTCTCATCATTTTTTCATAACGCGCCTAAAGAAGTATAACTTCAAAAAATATGGCTTAACTGTACTTCCAGGGCCCAAGTGGTGATACTTCACACTAGGTTAGGTTAGGTTAGTGTTGTAACCATAACCAGAAAAAAAATATATGAGACCTTTTCTATAAAAAAGTTCGAGTATCACCTATTGGACCCTGGAAATACAGTTTTACCCATGAAGTTATAGATAATACTGGAGGACAAACTCCTCCATACCTACTTGAAGCAAATATAATTGCATTCCATCTCGCTCCGTAGGTCCCCCTCCTCTCTTTCTAAATAGGGTATCCACACAACCACTAAGGAAAGGAGACAAGTTTTTTTAAAAACTAGTAATAAAAGTAAAAAACGTATTAATATCTGTGTTGATTTATCAAAAATTTATATATACTCTATATATACTCTTTATTGCACACAAAAAAAAAATTGTAAGATACAAAACATAAATATGTGAGCAAAGGAGGGCTTATCTCTAAGAGAGATCTCTTCCAGCCAACCAAGGTTTAGTGAGAGAAAAAAGTAAGCGGGTGTAGAGATGTGCACTAAGTACTTACTTGCAGATTATATACCTATCTAAGACTACATACATAAATATATATTCATATGTATATACACAAATACTTACAATAAATACATACATACACACATACATACATATATATACATATACATACATACACTATAAAATAATAAATACACATTACATGAAATTATGTTAAGATAAAACAATGAGTGGAATAAATAGACAACTAAGAGTGGGAATTTATTTCCAGAAAGTGCTCTTTGACCTTTGCTTTAAAAGTGACAATAGAAAGACAGTCTTGAATATTAGAGGGAAGTCTGTTCCAGAGTAAAGCAGCACGATCAGAAAAGGAATGGAAAAAGAAGTTGGTATTACTTTTTGGTAGTTCAAGTGTCTTCGTGTTGCAAGACCTTTTAGGACGAGTAGGAGGAGGAAGCGTTTTGAAACGGGAAGCAAGGTAATGAGGAGAACTAGGATCTTTGAGGATTTTAAACAAGAATGATAGGATATGCATATCACGTCGAAGACGAATGGGAAGCCATTTCAATTGAGAGCGAAAAGCAGAAACTCGGTCATATTTACGCAATCCGAATATGAAACGAATTGCAAGATTTTGGAGACGCTCTAGCTTATTCAATTGATCTTCAGTTACATCCAAGTAGCAAATATCGGCGTAGTCGAGAATGGGGAGAAGGAGTGATTGCGCCAGCATAATTTTGGTTTTGAAGGGAAGAAAAAATTGAAGCCGCTTGAGGGAGTGAAATGAGTAATGAATACGTTTACTGACTTCACTAATATGTGGGGACCATGACATTGTGCTATCCATAATTAAGCCCAGGTTTTTCACTTTATCGGTGTAAGGTATAGGCACGTCGTTATATTTAATGGGAGGTATCAAGTTCCAGTCTAATTTGTATCTAATCCTGCTACTACCGACAATCATGGCTTGACATTTATTCGGGTTAACTAAGAGACCAAACGAAGCAGTCCAGTTTTGAATGGATATTAGATTCCTATTTAAAAAAGTAATGGCATCAGTGATTTCAGCTAAGGCAAAATCTTTATAAATTTGCAGGTCATCAGCGTAAAGGTGAAAAGGGCAAGAGAGGACACGAGAAATATTGTTAATAAATAACGAAAATAATAAAGGTGAGAGAACACCTCCTTGAGGCACACCTGCTGATACATTCGACCAATCAGAGAATTCGTCATTTAGTTGGACACGCTGGAATCGATTGAAAAGATATGAACGGAACCATCCAATCACAGAGGAGCACACGCCAAAGTAACTTAAAGTAGAGAGTAAGAGGTCGAAGTCGACACAGTCAAATGCGCTGCTCAGATCTAATAATACGATAGCTGTTAGTTAGGTGTTGTCCATAGCATAGCGAATGTCCTCAGGTATGTTGAGCAGTGCACCAACTGTGCCGTGAGATGGGCGAAAACCGGATTGGTAAGGACATAATAAGGAATTAGATACGAGAAAGGAATACAACTGTTTGTGGACTACAGATTCTAAAACCTTAGAGAGTAAGGGAAGAATAGAAATAGGCCGAAACTGGGAAAGTGAAGATGGATTGGGAGTTTTTGGAATGGGAATGACATGAGCTTTCTTCCATGATGACGGAAAGACATTGTTTTCCAACGAAAAATTAATTATGTGTGAGATTATGGGAACAATGTACTCCAGCACCGGAAGAAGCATGTCTAGACTAAGACCATCACCACCAATGGCTTTGGTGGAGATAGATTTAATACTTTTTGCCACGTCCTCCTCTGAAACTGAGTTGAAAGAAAACGAGGGATGATTATTACTTTGAGGTTGATTAAGACTAGACAATAGGGAGAGGGTATTAGACTTAGAAAGATTATCTAGAGTCAAAGGTGGTGAAGAAAAGTGTTTATTCAGGGAATTGAGATCTATGATATTCTGACTTGTATCCGTTGGCTTACCTACTCCCAATGATCTTAAGAAACTCCAGATCTGCCTCTGGTCCGAACCCTCAATTTGATCATGAATATACTTGCGCTTAGCATCCCTGCACATCCTATTGCAAAGATTGCGCAACTTCTTGTAAGCTTGCAAGTTCTCAATGGACGGTGAAAGTTTTTGACGGCTTTTAGCCTTGTCACGCTTTGCCATAACTCTACGAATGGCTGGAGTCAACCAAGGGGCGGGAATGTGTTTAAGGCGAACTGGTCGCACTGGAGCATGAATATCGTACATTTTCGTCAGAGTACTAGTAAAATATTTCACCATCACATCTATATTGTGAGCAAGTAGAACCGGAGACCAATCTATATCTCTCATATCAACCCTCAAGCGTTCAAGATCCATTTGCTTAAAATTGCGCAGAAAACGAACTCTAGGTTTGGCTTTGGGAACACGTACTTTGTGAGATAGAAAGATGAGGTCATGATAAGAAAAGGGTTGTCATTTGTCCATGAGCACCAACCAAGTCAGGGTTAGAAACAATAACAAGATCAAGAAGAGATGGTTTGGAGTTTGGGAAATAATGAGTTGGAGACGACTTTTGAAGAATATGGAGATTGAGAGAAGATGTCAGACTATTAAGCTTACCAGCTCTAGT